GCAGAGGCTGACAATCACAAGAACACCTATGCTATTGAAGATCAGGGCAGTTCTATAAAAAAGTCCAAAATAGAGCTAACATCCTACTGCCATGAAAGATACCAAGTTACCAATACCAAAAGATGCTAAAACGAACATGCACCAGGACAGAGGTACCCAAGAAAATGGCACTAGACTCTGGCATAGTGCAAAGTGTCTACAAAAGACTTCTTAAGTGTGTTCCTGAAAAGAGGACTTTCAAAAGAGTTATTATTATAGAAGACTGGCAAAAGTGGTAACAACTTAGAATCTGTGATAACAACTTAGAATCCTTAGATTCTATTTATTTCAGATGTAACATGAAAAGAAGAGAAATCTAAATATAACTTAAAAAAATACTAGCTTATGAATAAGAAAGTTGCTTCTTTATGCATTCGGATTTCTGAACTGATGCTCTATAATTCTAGCCTAACAGATATCAAACCTCTGGACCTACCACTGGAGCAGGAGATTCTCTCTCTCCCCGACAAGAAGTCAACTCAGAAAATAAAACGGAAAAATGGTGATATGCACACGTTGAAAACAACACAGTACTGCAAAATGGCAAAACAGCTTAATAGCAGCAGCATGTAAAATCCAAGACGGTCTCCTCAAAGCAAGTGTTTAAGATGGAGCTGCAAAAACAGGACTTCTCAGACTGCTCGACGATTCAGTGCCTGCCACTAGGCCTGTTTAGAGGGTGCTGCTGTTTATGGTATTCCCATGATTACATGTATACCCAAGCTTGTTTTTAAAGCATACATATTGCACAGGTAGGAGAATGCCAGCATCTGGTATCGAGAACACAAAATCATCTTATTTAACACAGTAAACCATACTACTAAAATTAATTTTATCCATTTAAATTTGCTATTTAAATTTTAATTTAAAAGCAATCATGTAAGACGAGCACAGGAATCCCAAAATATCCCTCAACTATATGAGAAAACACAGGCACTTGGATGTAGGTCACCAGTGACAAAACTCAGGCCACAGGTGCAGACCAAGGGTAGTTACCAACCATGTTTTTGAGATCTTTCCACTGATCCAAATATAGAAACAAGAGCTCATTATAAAACTTTGATAAGAAAATAACATCTCCCCAAAATTTCATCCCAAAGAAGAGTTTTCACTGAATAAAGTACTGACTGCTGTCAGTCCCAATTCAGCATTATCCAATCAGTGTCTAAGAGCCACTTGCTCGCACCCTAGCTCTCTCCTCTCTTCTACGCCATGCAACTCACAGCCTCACCGATGGGCCACAGCAGCCTCCATGTAGAACTTACCACTCACCATGAAACCCAGGGCACCAACAATAGTTCTGATTTTCAAAACAGTCCACACTGTAGTATAAATTTTACAGCACCACAGACATCAGGAGTTTGGATAACAGCCTGGCAATATCCCATTCAATACTATTAATCAACAAGAAAGTGTAAATATCAAACTTTAAAAGGAAGCCATAGTAGCATTTTTTTAAACAACCAAAATAATTAATAAGCATTTTTAATGTTTTAAATTGTTAAACATTTAAATCGTCAAATTCACTAGGAAAAAATATCACACACAAACACACACACACACATACATTTTTAACGCCCAAAGGAGAACACAAAGCTTCGGACAGCTGGCACTGAGTCATTTCAGACTTTTCTCTTAAAGGAAATCACACTGAGTTTAGCCGCTCCCTAGATTCTTGATTCACCAGCTTATAAAGAACGCATCCAAGAGGCAGTACAGTGTGTGCACTGAGAACCATTTCACCCTTTATCATCTTTGGCGAGCAGCCTCATGAAAGGTAACGAAGGAACTGGTGAGGCGGTCGGGATCCACGTGCTTCCATCTTCACACATCACTGACTGGAAGGCTTGCGTCATCCAAGTCCACCGGGCCACCATCTTTTTCCTGAGGGCCATTTTTGCTTTGAGGTTTCAGCAGAGCTTGTTCAGTCACTTTGGAAGCTGGTTCTCTTGGAGTGACAGTCTGGATCTTGAAGTTCCCTGGCTTGACCTTGGCAAGAGATTCGTAAAATCCTCGCTTCTCCATGGCAAAGGTGGAGACCAGAGAGGTGCTGCGAGTGGCTGTGGAATGTGGGAGGGCTGCTGAGGCACCGGCGGGCCGGACGGCATGTTTGGATTCTGCAGGGCAGGCGGAATGCTCCTGGAAAGAGGAGTGGTGGTCAGACACAGTCACCCATTAAACAACAAGGTTAGTAATTCAGTGTGAGACTTTGTTCTCTGAAAAACAAACACAACCACACACACACACACAAAGCGGCAGCATGAGCTATGGTAGCATAAGCAGGCAAGTTCCCTCCCAAAGCAATGCAGTTTTAGGGGTGAGTTGAAAGCAATGACAGCCAACAACCATCTCCACTAAGAAACCAGTTCCGTCACCAAAGCTGAATTGGGCAGCTTATGACACTCCGAAAACTAAACCAGCCTAGACAGTGTTCCAGTGGCCACTGAACTGTGCTGATAAGGAAGCCTGCCAGCTCTGTTTTTCTATGTAAGAATATATTCTCAAGTCAACACTAGGAGTTATCCCATATTACATTATAAAAATAAAAATGCAGAATGTAAAAAATGATGTTGCTTCAATAAGTAGGTATCAACAATTTTCAAAGATATTCTTTTGTCTGGTAGCCTGGCAAGTATACAAGTGTTGCTTCCCTGAATTTCACTGTCCAAAAATAGCATAATTCTTTTACCTTTTATTCCATTTATTTAGTTTTGACTATGTCATACATTTGCAAGGGTCAACGTTTTAAAGATAACAAAGGGTACATAATTATTCTTAAAAACTGCAGTAAAAAACAGCAATTTCACGTGCTTCTAACCAGGTCAAATTTGAAAGTATCCTTCAATCTGCCCGTTCTGAATGCCCTGTCATATGGTTCAATTAGGGTATGAGGTGCCTTGAACACAAAAGCTATAACTACGAAACACTGTAGATTCTCATGCGCTGACTGCATTTCCCAAGATTGACAATGCTGTGACAACCACGGAAATGCACAGCTTGTCCAGTGTGCATGCACAGGAGTCCACAGGTACTGGGCAGAGATGCACCTCAAGGGTCGCATATAAAAACCTCAAGATATGGAAAGCAGAAATGGAAACCATGCCAACTCTGTCAACTCACTGTGAGAAGACAGCTGAGGGTAAAGTTTTATATTCTCATTGTCTTTTTTTTTAATATGCATATCCAACCTGATGACTGTAGCGAAAAAGACTGAGTTAGTGTTGACAAAGTCAGTTAGGGAACTGCAGAAGGCAGTTGGGTTAACTCAACTTGGTATGATCAGTTGTGAGTAGTGAGTAAATCCGGGCCCTCTAGTAAGAAGGCACGTTTGCGTGAGCGCCCACATTCGTGCTGCATTCACCAGGTCTGGAGGTGTACCTCTGTATACAAGGGGTCGACAGCCTTCTGGCCTGCCGCATCTGGAACACAGTGCAAAGCTAAGATTAGAGTTTGCCCAAACCGGGGAGAGGGAGGAAAAGGGAAGGTTTGCTGACAGTCACAGCTCGGGACCCAGTCTGCCCCACCACAAAGCACAAGGGCAAATGCCCCTCACCAGCGTGCCCTCTTCCCAACAGACACTGTTTTTGCAGAGAGTCTCATACTTGACTATGGAAAAGGTCACAAGAAACACAGGTAGTTACAAAATTAACACTCATGAAAGGGACTGCTTAGATATTCTGAAAAGGAGAGAAGAATGACTGAAACAATTCAGAAATGAGAAAAATGTGTTTCTATTTAGTGATCAGCAGGTACTGTTACCAGGAAATGACCAAAAGACAGCTTGTACACAATATTACTACTAGGAAAAATATCAAAGTACAGAGTATCTAACATTTATAATAAATTTAGCTACTAATGACATCATGCTACATACTAGACTGCATTCTGTGGACAGAAGTGCCATACAGCTATGCATCACTTAACGTTTACGATACGCTCTGTGAAACAGGACGTTACGTGACTTGGATGTCATGTGAACACCACATTAAAACACGATGGAAGCCAGCTTCCAGCTGTCGCCACCACTGCTGTGGTGGAGGCTGGAAGGAGTGCCACTGGCAGGAGAGGCTGCGAAGGCCTGGGGGGAGCAAGTGGGAGGGAGCGGAAGACGCCCAGCCACCCTGATTTCCTGCCCACGCGAGCAGCAGGAGCAGCCCAGGCCCCACAGGCCCTGTCACAGCTGCCTGCCCAGCAGCAAAGCCTGAGAGCCTACACCCAGAGCCATGTCCTCTACCTCACCTGCCTGTACCCACCAGTGGTCCAGTGCTGCAAGAGTCTGGGTTTGGGGTCTTTAAAACCATGCGGGGAGAAATAACCAACAAAAGGAGAGCTGCTTTCCCTTTTTAAAAAAAAAAAAAAAAAAACTTTAAGGGACCACAGACATATGTGCAGTTGGAAGTTGCCAGAACAGATGTTAAGTGACACGTACCTGTATTTTAAGCAACTTTAAAAGTTTAAACTTTTAAAGTTTAAAATTTGAAAAGTTTTCATTCCCCAATAAATATTCTATTTTCAGATCAGAGACCAGTGACCAAAGTACTCCAAAGTTAAATCATATTCCTATGACGTACTAAACCAAAACTCAATGCCATTAAGTTGATTCCAACTTATAGCGACCCCATTGGGTTTCCGAGGTGGTAAATTCTTATGGAAGTAAATTGGCCAGTATTCCTTCCACAGAGCAGCTGGTGGGTTTGAACCACCAACCGTCTGGTTAGCATTCAAATGCCTTAGTCACTGTGCCATTAGAGCTCCTTTTATGATGTACTACAACACCATAAATAAGAGCCTTTTCTTACTATCTCTGAGTAGCATGCTTAGTGTCAGTTGTATTATCATGCCAGCAAAGGTAACAGTGGCAGTGAAGGGAGGCAGGCTTTTCCATTACCCCACCAGAAAATGAGACTGAAATCCTGCAATGGCAAGTATGACTCAGAGCAGTCCAAAGTGAAGGTAAGGGTCCGGTGCTCAGTGGGCTGATGGCACTAGTAAGCCCCATCCCCACCTATCCACTTCCAAAAAAGACTCCACTTAAATTAGAGGCAGTAACAAGGAACCCAGGATGCTCACAAACCTGTGTAATGCTAAAAGTAAAGCTGCCTGACACAATCAAGTCCCATGGCATACTCAGAATCTGTCAGGTTATACAAATACAGACCTAGAGGCCAATCCCTAAACAAAGCATACCCAGAATGTGTCATGTTATACAAATACAGACCTAGAGGCCAGTAAGAATCCCTAAACAAAGCAGGAAATGTTCATTCTTTAGTTGCCTTGCCTGTGCATTTAAGACAATACAATGCACAGAAAGTTATGTGTACAGAACACTACAAGGAAGCATTAAATCAGAAATGCATTATTTTTGCAAGTCCAATTGGTACGAAAGTCAGCATGCAAATACATCTCAATACAGAGAGAAACCAGGAGGATTAGGGGGAGAGGAAGGAAAGTCATTCGACAGGAAGGGGGACCCAAGGGAGTATCACCCCAGAGCAGGACACATACGGAAGACGCTGACCGGCCGGGTCCCCGCTGTGCGACAATGGCGCCAGAGACGGCTTTAATCCAGCTGTACATCTCCTCAGGGCTATCGGCCTAAAGGAAGGAAGGGCTCAGTCGGTTTCCCTCAGAGTCAGCTGCCACAACGACAAACCCAGTAACTTACAGTGTCACCAAGAAAATAATCCTAAGGCAATGGTTTCCAAAAAATTTTAGAAATCACTTCTTAAAACCAGGTTCTGCGAGGTCAGTTAAGACACAGAGCTGTAAGTTGGGCACTTAATGTTTTAGATCAGACACATCAAGAAGTGTCAATAATGAATACTTCCAGAGAAAAACAAGGAGTGGGAGGAGTCAGACGGCTCTACCGTCTGAATGTGCTCCAGGAACACTGATGTAACCAATGAAAAAGCATTCAGATATCATGTGGTATTTCTAGAAATAATCTCAAGTAGCACTCTGAATCCTAACAGAAGGATTAGTAGTCATATTCCAAATATTATATTCCTTTGACAGGACCTGGCTTCCAAGATGAATGGAATACCTTACTTTAACATTAATTTAATTAAACAAGGCCCTAAGAGGGATGCAGACCTACTGCTGCTTCCTACTACATTCTAGAATCTAGATGTTCAGACATTTTAAAGATACAGGATCATATTTTTAACCAATGATATTGACAAAGACTTCTTAAGAGGGAGCCTCAGAGCAGACAAAAGCCAAGAGCAGACCCTCAGTCACCGTTAACAGGAGCACACTCTAGACCAAGAGCAGGCCCTCAGTCACCGTTAACATGAGCACACTCTAGACCAAGAGCAGGCCCTCAGTCACTGTTAACAGGAGCACACTCTAGAAAGCACCTGGGCAAGATAAAGAGGTTTAAAAGTTTCCTCTCTCCCTATAAATTTATCCCAAGGAAATAAATCTATGTACAAAGATGTTTATCGCCACGTTATTTAACATGGTAAATACATGGCAACAATGCGCAGTAACAGAGTAAGGGACAGTTTAATTGTGGAACGTGCATACAAAGAACTATGGAGTAGTCCTAGAAGGTGTTCAGAGAATTTTAATGGCATGAAAAAAATGACCAAAATATACAAAACATATGACAGTATACTCAGCATGACCCCTCTTGTTTTAACAAGACAGGATTTAACAGAAACAGCAAAAAAAAGAATAAACTATACTCTTTTCTATTTCCCAAATATTCTGCTACAAGCATTTTAAAAACAAAAGCTTTTTTTCAAGAAAAAACTTTCAACCTAATTAAGTCAATATAGTAACCAAACTGTACATTTTCAACTTAAAAACAGCATGCCTACCATAATGGAAACTGTAAGATCCAATGTCCTCTCTTATTTATGGGTATCTAAGCCCTTGTTTTTGTTATAAAATTAGAAATAGAAATGATAAAGAAAATAAAAATTCTAAAATATGTGCGAAAATAATCCAACAGGAAGGTACATACTTAGCATCTAAGTTAAAAAAGCATCTCCTTTCTTCCAAATACTACTTAGCTCTATTTCACTAACAGCAAAGAATATCCTCATTTCCCACACAAGTAACCTGCCAATAACCCTGTCTAACAACCTTTCATTAAGATGGTGAATTACAGTTGTCAGAGTTTTCAACCTCCCAAGCAACAAGTTATTTATGTTCTATTTCACCTCTACAGTGATTTAATTTCTTGTTAGGAGAAGCTATAATTTCCAGATAAGTATCTTACCTGCACATAGAAAGTTCGAGATGATGTTACAATTTCGAAGAGGTTGTCCCTCATCATTATGTCACTGTTAACAAAAAATTACCCAGTTGTATTTTAATAGCAGTTGGTTGATGGTTTTACTTGCTTATCAAGTATGTATCACTAATAAATATTAAAAGTAAATATACTGACTTAACAAGACCAAATTTATGTATTTTTCCATTTACTTTCAATTTTTGCAATTACATATATTTTTTAGAAAGGGTTCATAAAATAACTTTAAATTTCAAAGTTTTCAACTGTGAAGAAATCAGTTTGTTTAAACAAAGAGTGACACAGAAAATATATTTTCTTGCAAAGCTCTATATGGCAGCAACCTTGAACTACTAAAAGCAATAGTACAATTTTGTATCTGATGGTACAATCATAAGCTAATTATTTTAGGTTTTTCCCTTTAGAAAACTAAAGGCTCTGTTTCCTAAATTTTAGTTTTCAAACAAACAAAAAAAATCAATTCTTTTCTCTGAGGGTTTTGAAAATGCTAGCATACATAACCATAAGGAGATAAAAATAACAACAGAACCAATACCAAAAAATCTAATCTGCCAGCACATTAATCAAATGCAGGCATTGTGACGAACTATAAGATGTGCCAGACAGCAAGTCAGAGCTGTGCCTTACCTCTGCTTACACTCCTGGACCTTATGGACCTCTTTAAGTGGTATTACACGCAGAGGTTCCTTTTCCTGCAAAGAAGCAGACAAAAGGATGCATGGTATTTCTGGGCTGGCTGTACCTAGAAGGCTCGGCTAGTCTTTGAAGGATCAGTTGTCTCACATGGAGATCTATGGGAAAATCATGCTTCGTTCATGAAGCACATCCAAAATGTAAGTGCACCTTTTCAAACCATTCCACATCAGAAAAGCTCAAATACTATGAATTATTGATACACTTTTGTCTGAAACTGGCATGTAACACATATCCATGTTACTTCTGGCCTTCATGATACTGCTATTGTTGTAAGGGGCTGTCAAATCAAACTTTGACTCATCGTGACCCCACGTGACAGAGTGGAACTACCCCACGGGGTTTTCTAGGTTGTAGTCTTTCTTTCCATCATTAGTTAGTTTCTTAGGTTTTAATCTTTATGGAAGCAGATCACCATATCCTTTTCCCACAAAGAACCTGTGTGGGTTTGAACCACTGACCTTTCTGTTAGCAGTTGGGCATTTAACCATTGTGCTACCAGGACTCCTTTTCATGACAGTACGGCTTATTATAGTGGTATGCTACCTAAGGCATTTTACTGCAAACCATAAGGTTGGTGGTTCAAACCCACTAGCCACTCCATGGAAGGAAGACTGGGCAATCTACTTCCATAAAAATTTATCTCCTTGGAAACCCAAAGGAGGTCGCTATGACTCAGAATCAACTCAATGGCAGAGAGTTTGTTTTTGGTTTATTTATGGCTTACTAAAAGTCATCAACCATCAGGTTTTTCTCCAGTAGGCTCCTGCTGGCCCAGGAGATGCAGCACTTGCTCTTTCAGAAAGGTACTTTGATATACAAGATACCAGGCTAGCGAACCTACAGGTATTCATAGTAATTATTTTAACAAAAACCATTTACCGAACATTTAATTTAGTGCCGGTTTTAAATATGCTACTGTACTGAACCGTTCCACAACCTTACAAGCCTGTCTTATTCATCTAAGAAAATCAAAGATTAGATATGGCAAGTATCTAGCATAAGATCACAAAACTTGACATAAGATCCAAATATAAGGATGAGTGATGTTACATTGTGTGGAATGCAAGAAATGGCATAAATAAAATATGTATGAACTACTGAATGGAAAACATTTGCTCTGTGAACTTCGCCCAAATCACAATCAAAAGTTAAAAAAAAAAAAAAAAACCTTCTGATACAGAGAATATATGTATTCAGATTAGACAATACTCATTTCTAGTTCATAAGGATCCAACAGCTCGAAAGCTCCTGTATAAAAATCAAAGTAGGCCCAGTGTGGAATCCTCCCTGAGACCACAGAACGGGGTTACTACTGTGGAACTCAGAGCAGTTAGGTGAGTAAGGGCTCTACCTCAGAATAGTACTTCAAAATCATCAAGAAATAGATAAACAATTAAGATGTCAAAAGGAATCCAATTACATTGAAATATGCTACCAAAATATTTAAAAAAAAATTTGACAGTTAAAAAAAAAAGATACAACTGTAACTCATAACTCGTTCCTAGTAACAATATTTATATGGTATGTTGTTGTTGCTGTTATGTGTCATAGCGACTCCTCCCTGGGTTTCCGAGGCGGTATCACCATGGAGGTAGATTGCCTAACCTTCCTTCCGAGGAGCAGCTGGTGGGTTTGAACTCCCAGAACTCCCACGGGCCCCTAAATTTGTCCCTATTTCTTCCTTGAGGAACTTTATAGTTTTAAACATTTAAGTCTTTGATCCATCTGGAGTTAGTTTTTGTGTACAGTGTGAGGTACAGATCTTATTTCATTTTCTGCAAATGGATATCCAGTTTTGCCGGCACCAGTTGTTAAACAGACAATCTCTTCCCCCATTTAATGGATTTCAGCCCTTTGTCAAAAATCAGCTGACCATAGGTTGATGGATCTCTTTCTGGGTTCTCCATTCTATTCCATTGGTCTACTTGTCTGCTGTTCTACCAATACCAGGCAGTTTTGACTACTGTGGCTGTGCAGTTGAGATCTGGACTCAATATTGAGATCTGGGAGTGTGAGATCACCTTTGTTCTTCTTCAATAGTGCTTTGCTTATCCAAGGTCTCTTTCCTTTCCATATAAAATTAGTGATTGGTTTTTTCATATCCTTAAAGAATGTTGAAGGAGCTCTGGTAGCATAGTGCCTAAGGCACTTGACTGCTAACCAGAAGGCTGGCGGTTCAAACCCACCAGCCACTCCTTGGAAGGAAGGTTGGGCAATCTACTTCCGTAGTGATACTGCCTCGGAAACCCAAGGAGGGTTCGCTATGAGTCAGGTCTGACTTGATGGCACATAACAACAACAACAAACAATGTTGATGGGATCTGGATTGGGATCACATTGAACGTATAGATTGCTTTGGGTATAATTGACATTTTCACAATGTTCAATCTTCCTATCCACAAGCATGGTATGCTCTTCCATTAATGTAGCTCTCTTATGGTTTCTTGAAGTAGTCTTTTATATTTTCTTTGTACAGGTCTTTTGTGCCCCTAGTGAGATTTAGTCCTAAGTTTTTTTTTTTCTCTGCTAGCTATTGTAAATGGTATTCAGTGCCTTATTTCCTTTTCTGCAATCTCTTTGCTGGTGTAGAAGAATCCAACTGATTTCTGGATGTTGATCTAGTATCCTGCCACTATGCTAAATCTCTCAATTAGTTCTAGTTGTTTTATGGCTGAGTCTCTTGGGTTTTCTATGTATAGGATCATATTATCAGCAAATAGGGATAGTTTTACTTCTTTCTTACCAATCTGGAAGCCTTTGATTTCCCTTTCTTGCCTTATTGCCAGCTCTAGTAGCTTAGTGCCTAAGGCACCTGACTGCTAACCAGAAGGCTGGCGGTTCAAACCCACCAGCCACTCCTCAGAAGGAAGATGGGGCAATCTACTTCCGTAGTGATACTGCCTTGGAAACCCAAGGAGGGGTCACTATGAGTCAGGTCCGACTCGAAGGCACATAACAACAACAAAGGACTTCCAATACAATGTTGAAAAGGATGTCTGGTTCTTATTTGCAAGGGGAATAGTTTCAGTCTCTCTCCATTGAGAATACTGTTGGCTGTTGGTTTTACATATGTGCCCTTTATTATGCTGAGGATAATATTCCTATTTTGCTGAGAGATTTTATCAGGAATGGGTGTTGGATTTTATCAAATGCCTTTTCTGCATCAATTGATATGATCATGTGGTTCCTTTCCTTTATTTATGTAATGAACGACGTTGCTTGTTTTTCTAATGTTGAACCATCCTTACATACCTAGTATGAACCCCACCTGGTCATAATGTATTAGCTTTTTGTTATGTTGTTGGAGTCTATTGGCTAGGATTTTGTTGAAGATTTTTGCATCTATATTCATGAGGGATATTGGTCTGTAGTTTTCCTTTAGAGTGATGTCTTTGCCTGGTTTTGGTATCAAGGTTATGCTTGCTTCATAAAATGAATTTGGGAGGAGTCCATCCTTTTCTATGTTCTGGAACAGTCTGATTAGGGTTGGTGTCAGTTCTCTGAACGCTCAGTAGAATTCTCCAGTGAAACTGTGTGGGCCAGGGTTTTTTTGTCATTGTCAGTAATTTTTTTATGACCTGTTCAATTTCTTCTTTTGTTATGAGTCTGTTCAAATTTTCTCCTCAGCCTGTGTTAGTTTAGGTAAGTAGTATGTTTCTAGAAATCTATCCATTTCCTACTAGATTTTCAAATGTGTTGGAGTATAGTTCTTCATAGTATCCTCATATTACCTTTTTAATTTGTTGATTCTGCTGTAATATCACCCAATTTATTTCTTACCCATGTTATCTGTATTCTCTCCCTCTTTTCCTTTGTTAAATTTGCCAGTGGATTGTCAATTTTATTATTCTTTTTGAAAAACCAACTTCTGGTCTTACTGATTTTTTTCTACTGTCTTTCTATTTTGTTTCAATTATCTGTGCTCAAATCTTTATTATTTCTTTTTGAGACATAATCTTTCAGTGCCTTTATTAATTTGATTTCTCTAATTACAAATAATACTAAACATTGTTTTATAAGTTTCAGGCCCCTATTTCTTTGTTTTAAAGCATTCTTATTTTTTACAAATTTTTCTACCAGATATACTTCCCTTCAATATTTTCCCTTTCAACTCTTACAACAATCACAAACTTACACAAAGGCTGTAATACTGTTCACAGAACTGATTTTCCCAAACTGCTTCAGAGCGAGTTGCTGACCTGGGCCCCATTACCCTGAATGCATTCCTGTGTATTTTCTATAAATGAAGACAGTCATATAATCACAATTCAACCACCAAAATCAGGAAATTCTCCCAAAGAAGTCTTTAATTAAGGCAAAAGTTCAGAATTATGAATTGCATTTCATAATCATCTCTTTTTGCTTCAGTCTGGAACAGTTCCTTATTCTTCCTTGACTTTCATAATCTTGACACTTTATTTCCGTAAAGTGTCTCTCTGTCTGGGTGTGTCTGATGTCTCCTCAGGATTAGATTCAGGTTATGTATCTTAGATGGGAACATCACAGAAGTGATCCCACATTCTTTTCATCCTATCCTGTCAGGTGGTATGTAATTTCAAATTATCACCATGATGTTCACTTTAGTCATTTTAGCACCTGATTAAAGAGGATCTGCCAGACTTCTTCACTATAAAGTTATTCTTTTCTCCCTTGTAATTTACATGCGTTTTGTGGAGAGCTACTCTGAAACTATATAAATAGCTCGTTCTTCATCAAATGTATAAACACACACACACACTTATTCACACCTGTGTGGGCTCAGTGATTCCTATTTTACTCAGTGGGCTACCTGCTGCCATCATGATTCATTTTCATGTTTAAATCGCCCCTAGTTTGGTTCGGGGAGTGTTTTCAGGTTGGCTTCTCCTGTGCCACCCAGGAACTCATATTTATGTACTTACTGCATGTTTCAACTTGTCCATAATAAAAAAGTTTTACAAAAGAGCGCTTTTACACTTTAGACATCAATTTTTATCATGAATCTCTTTTGAGCATA